CATCATTGCGCTCTTCTCTGGCGAGGCAGATCAGTCGCCGGCTTCTGGACGGCCGCTCACTGCGGCTGCTGGCCGCTCACGCTGGCTGCTGGCTACATACGGTAGCCCATGGCAACCCACTGCCACAGGGGCTGCAGCCTACGCCGTCGCCGGCGACTCACGGCAGCCCAGCTCCAGGTTGAGCTGTTGTTCAGCATCTTAGCTGTGGAGGGCAGTGTCACTGGCCCTCATATGTGGGATCCGAACCGGGGCCCTCTGGCATCCCAAGCGAGTTCTTAACCATCGCGCCACTCGGCCGGCCCATGCTGGCTCCCTTTTTAGGAAGGGAATTTGAAAAATTCAGTCTACAGCAGAGCAGAGTGGCATGGCGTTCTGGGAGGGAACAGGAGAGATGAAGACTAAGTTTGAGTACCCGCATAAATCGTCCTTCTTAATAAGCCCAGAAGCCAGTTTCCACTGACAAGGAAGGGAAACACAAAAGAAGGGCAAGACTGAACTGGGTTTCAACAGGAGGGACACATGTTTGGCAGTGGGCAGTGGGATGTGAGTTTGACCCCCTGAGGTACCTTTTTCCCTAGAGAGTGCAAGGTCAGGATCTCAGAATAGCCTGAGACAAAATAGATTAGTGTTTATAAACACAAACTCTGGAGCCAGACTGCCTGGGTCCAAATCCTGTCTCTAACAATTGTTGGCTATGTCACCTAGGCAGGTTGCTTAATCTCCATGTGGCTCTGTTTTCTTCTTTGTGAGAAATGTGGATAATGATAGTGCCTACCTCATAGATTTATTGTAAAGATTAAGATGCTTAATAAATGTAAAGCTCTTAAACAGAGCCTAACAAATACTAAGTGAATATGAGGGTCAGTTCCATAAAATAAATTTTGAAATAGGATGCAAAGGTGGTCAATTTAATAAAGATTTATTGTATACCTACTATGTTCCAGATACTGTGCTATCCAAGGTTTAGTATGGGAGAGTTTGGCTTTGGAATCTGGTGAAATTGGATTCTAATTCTAACTCTGCCCTCGGCTATGAGGTTGGTGGCCATGTTACCTAACCTTCCTGAGCCTCTGTTTCCTCCTTTGTAAAATAGGGATGATAATAATAGTCTGGGCCACACAGGGTTGTTAGGAGTGAATGAGGTAGTGACTATAAGTGTGGCATATATAAGGGGGCACGCTAGGTTGTAATATATTACTTCTGTAAGCAGGGGCCTGTTCGAAGAAACCTAACAGCAATCAATGTCAAATCAAGTGGAACTGAAACTTGATTTTGTTTTTTAATAGTGTTAAGAATGGTGTAGTATTTGGAAAGTTCTGGAAAATGCGGTCAATTTTACTTTAAAATGAGAATCTGATATTTCTGTATTTGTACTTCATTCTTTTCAATAAAGCTTCAAAAGTGTTTTGGGAGAAAAAACTCAATTGCAAAATAATACAAATGAAAGACAAGAAAGGCTTGAATTGGCAAGAGCTTGTTTGAAAAAGAGCTGTGGGTTTTGGTTGACCACAAATTTCCTATGAGCCAATAGTGTGACCTGGCTGCCCAAGTACTAATGTAATTTTAGATGGCATTAATAGAAATGGTGAGTCGAGATCCCAGAAAGTGATCATTTCACTGTCCTCTGTGCTGGTCAGATCACTTCTGACATACACAACTGCATTTTGCTTACATGTTTCTGGATAGACAATGACAAACTCATTGACAAACTGTCCAAAAATGCAGAAATGGTGACTCGGGTTGGGAGGCATTGGAAAACCCTTCATTGAGGATGAGATTAAAATAACCCAGGGAGGGAAACACAAGGCAATGTTTGAAACAGTTCTTTCTTCTAATGAAAATGTTTACAGATAACACTCCATGTCCAATCTGTCAGCAAATACTTTTGGCTCTTTCCTCAGATTATATCAATAATGTAACCATTTCTCATCACCTCTCTACTATTGTGTTTACCTAACCCATCCTGATTATTGCAGTAGCCTCCTAGCAGATCTCTCTGCTTCCAACTTTGTCCCTTAGTCTATTCTCCACACAGAAGGCTGGATGGCCCCATTTAGACGTAAGTCTGATCATGTCACCCCAGTGGCCTTCTATTTCTTTCAGAGTGTAGGTCAAAGTCCTTACAAAGACTTACAAAAACTTTGCTTGGCCTGACTTTCATTACCTCTCTGATGGTATCTCTCTCTTCTCTGCCCCTTGCTTACTTTGCTCCAGTCACTGTAATTTACTGACAGTTCCTGAAAGCAGCCAGGCATTCTCCTGTCTCAGGGCTGTTGCACTTGCTTTTCTTTCTTACAATAACTCACTTTACCTAGATATCTGCATGGTTTGCTCCATTTTATCCTTCAAATCATAAGCCAAATTTTACCTTCTCAGTGAGGTATTCTCAGTCACCCCTTTTAAATTGCAACAAGATATATTTGCAAGAGAATGTTGACCAAACCCTGGAAGCACTGTTGAGTGAAATATCCTGTACTCAGGGAGGAAAACTCACATCTTCTGAACTTTGTAAGACAATTCAGTGTAAAAAGTAGATTTCATCTGTGTTGCAACTTGAGTCAGAACTAGAGATCAATCAATTTTAAATTCTTAGGTTGTCTCAGGAAGTGGTGAGCTCCCCATCCCTGAAGGTGTAAAGAAAGAAGCTGTATGCCTCCTTGTTAAATCTGCTGTAAAGGAGATTCTGTACTAGGTTAAGGATTGGACCACACCACCTTGACAATCTATAGCTCTGAGGTACTGGGGCCAAAGGTGTGTGGGTCTAAGGGTCTGGGGTAATTTACATTTGTTGTTTTAGTAGTGGGGTGAAGATCTTTGGCTTGTTCCTGGAGTCCCAGAAACAAATTCTCCTCTCAAAAGTCCATTCCACCCTAATGGAGATTCCATTTCCCAGGTATTATCTAAGCCTAGGCTGATGATTAGAGGCCAGCCAGGGGTAAAGGGGCTGGTTCCCATGGCAACCAGGTTGAAAAAAAAACATACCATGTGGAGCATTTTCAGCAACAAGCTAAGTTTGTATTAGAAATAGATATTTAATTCATTGAGAGTTTGTGACGACTTTTGCATTATAAATAGATATTCAATTCACTGCGCTAGCTCTAACAGCTAGCAGGAAAGTTAAATCCCAAAGTCACTCTTTGTCTTTAAGTAATTCACAGTTAATTGACAACAATGTCTTCCCTTCTAAGACATGTAGAACTTGGTTCTCTAAGTGAAAGAATGGTATATGTGAGTGTTTTTAGAAAACCAACTAACAGACCAGTGTCACAATATTTCTCACTATTTGTTTCTCACTGAAAGGTCTATCAAAATTTTCTGATTTTGCATGAATATCTCTGTTTGAATCTTTTTGACACAGGAGACCCCAGGTTCAGTGTCTGAATTTCACAAGTCTTTTTCTGACATTTTTGCCTCATCTTCTCCCTGATTTTCTAACTCAGAGGCTTCTCTAAATTTCAGCCCTTGGACCTCCGCTCTTTTCTTCCCGTTTCTCTTTTCCTTAATGAACAGCTAAAGCAATCAAGTGATCACTAGCTAACTTACACAGCCCTACCACTTGCCTTGACAATACACTTTGGAATACCCAATGATTGGAAAACGAAATAAGACCCCATCAAAAGACTTCTATTCTAAAACCAAGAACCAAAGATGGGCCTTCCTCCAGTGTTCAAAATGTATAGCTTGGTTGAGGGTTAGGGATGGAGCATTTGAAGACAGAGAGTGGTGTTCAGCAGGAAGAAAATTAAATGTAAAATTAAATGTATTTTTTGGTAAATTAAATGTAAAAGCACTTTTGAAATGCAATTTTTAGAAACACTATAAGAAATTAGTATAAGCAACTAATAGAATCTCAGCAAATGGAAATCAGACTGAGACTCTGTACGTCTACATTCCAAAGGGTGTAAAATAAATTAGTCTATAGTAGTGACAGTGTTTCATTTTGCAAGGATTAATGGAAACAGGATGCATATTTTTTATTAAGTTGCTGGGTAAATAAGCTTCCTAATGTAAGAATATAAGAGTTGCTTTCTAAAAATTATTAAAACCAGGGGTAAATAACTTGCTGTGTACATTACCATTGTACATTGTCCCATTGAATAGTGTTAGCTTAGAATTAAACAGTGTTGGGAGGTGAAAAAATTTAGGGTTAGATTTGAAGTGGTCTTGACCTCCTCTAGGACACATAAGTTAATTCTTCTGAGGTTTTGAACAGGTTCAAGGAACTAGGTAAGACCCCTCCCCAGTCCAACCCCCTAATGTGTACTGAATTCCCACAAGTGACATACTGATCCAGAGAGGAAGATCAGGGGCTCAGAATGTGAGCCAGCCTCCATTTGGAGTCCTCTGAGGAGACACTGCTAGGTCCCCTGCTCCAGACGAACCACCTCACCTGCTTACTCACACTCTAAGCCCACCACCAGAGGCCCATTCTTTTGGGAAGCAGTGTTCTCTTTAGGGAGGGGCAAGTATTCAGCTTTTATCAATTGTTTATACTTAACCGTGAATTAATGTACACCCTGTGATTATGAGTTAAGTGCCACAAAGCATACTTTGCCAATTTCAAAGTTCTACAGAGGACTAATTGTGATATTTGAAAGCAAGTGTAATATGGACCTAGAAGTAACATGGTGGAAAGGATTTAACTTCAGTGTTTGCCCTCCTCAGGCTCAACTTGGAGAGGACATTTGCCATTCATTCATTCATTCATTCATCCATCCATCCATCCATCCATCCATCCATCCATCCATCCATCCATCAATTCATTCAATAATGAAATGGAAGGACAACAGGACATTCTGTTTAGTGATAATGTCTCAAAACAAATTGGTAAATACTATTTTGGGGGCTTCCCTCCTCCCCAACCCCATCTGTGAGCTCCTTTCTCTGTGCTAGCAGCCCCAAGCTCTCTTATTCTACCATGGAGGTCAACTCCAATACACTATTTCTCCTAAGTTGTAAGTGGCGACAGACCAATGGAAAGCCACTGTCACAGTTTTTGCAGTTAAATAGTGAATACTATTCTTTATTCAGAAGAATACATTTTAATAGAATTTCATGCACCAGTAAGTCAGTACAGTGAATAGTTACAGAGGCAGGGAATCGCTCTTCAAGAAACATCTCACCCATATCTACAATTGAGAGTAGAGCTCTCAACTTCCAGAATCCCCTTGACCCAGCTCAGGTGATTAGTGGCTAAGGAACAGTTAATGGGGCAGAATCCCAGGGTAACCAGTTGGATTTGCAGGTTCTGAGGATAAAAGAAAGGAGAGGAAAGCTCTTGTAAAGATTACTATATTGGGACTGGAAGTTCCACTGAAGTCGCCTGGGAGATTGATGAAGGAGAGTTGCTATTAGTGTCTGGTTCTTCTTCTTGGTTACACTCTTCAAGGGCTATGGTCTGGTCCCTTCCATCTGTCTCCGAGTCCCTGTGCATAGGAAAAGACATGACTAAGGGAGTATCCAGAACCATCAACCTGAAAACAGGTTGCATTGTGGGGCTCAGATGATAGAGGATCATTCAGATAATTGTTTTTCCAACAGCTCTGGGTTCACAGAAGGAGGCTAATATGAGGCATTTACCTGGTTCTAAGTCGAGGCCACTTCCTCCACTCTATGGCTAGCACTATCCCCAAAGCTACAACGACCACTACAATCAGGCTACTTCGGACAATGTTCCCCACAGTGCACTCCTGAGCAGCAGGCCCTGTTGTGAAAAAAGAGCAGAAACCAATGCCATAGAGGTTAGCACATGTGTTATCCTTGATCTCTCATTGCCTCCTCGTCTGGCATCCTCCAAGCTTCACTTGGGAGCCATGTGTTGAGACTATAGAGAAGGTGATCAAAGGTAGCGCTTATGCTGAGGCAGAGGCAGCCCTCCTTCTGGGGGGTGGAGTGGAAGAGGCCCTGAAAGTGTCTTGCTCACTATCTTTGAATGCATCTGAGGCCCTACCTCCTCACCATCCCTAGGAGAAAAATAACGACACTTGAGGTATGTGACTCCAAACCCTTCTGCCTCCATATTTGGCCTATCTCCATCGGGACTGCTTCTGGGATACCAGGTGTGTTATGCCAGGTCTGTGAAGGGATTATCCACTCACCTGCTGCACCCACCAGCTCCAGGTGATCACTAGGCTCTGACCAGATATCAGGGTAGGCCTGGAGGCGGTATCTGCAGCTGTAGTTTCCAATGCCTTTTCCTTCTACATTGTTGATGACAAAGTCTCCATCATCTGAGAACTGCTGAGGCACTTCTTTTCTGTCATGCTCCAGGATAAATTCAACACCTGGCAGGGGTCCCCGGCACCGAAGGGTGATGTCCTTACCTAGCTTGAACACAGTGCTGGGCCAGGCTGACAGGGAGGGCTTAGGGGGCTTATCTGCAACCAACCAGGACACAGAGTTAGAAGAAGTGGCCCTTGAACACAGCCCTTTACCCCCTTAGGGCTAACTACTAAAAACACTACAAAATCTAGACTCTTACTGAAGTCTCCAGGACCTTACCAGTCACCCAGATCTCCAGGGAGTCACTGTGATTGGAAGCTGCAAAGGGAGCAGAGTCCAAATAATAAATACAGCTATAGGTCCCAGAATCTTCACCTCTCACTGCTGGCATCCAAAAGTCAGCCCTGTAGCCACTTGGCCTCTGTTGCTCTAAGGGCTCTTGAGAACCCTCCTTCAACAAGACAAATGTTGAGTCTGGCAGTTCCCCTTGACATTGAAGAGTCATATTTCCTCCAGGGGCCACCATGGGACCAGGCTGGGCTAACAGGTGGGGTTTGGGGAGCAAACCTAGAAGAAATTAACTGGTCAGAGAGAGGAAGCCACTTTTCAGGGCATCACCCTTGGAGTCTCTGTTCAATAAAGAGGAAAGACTATTGCCTGCCTCTCCTCGGGCTTTTGAAAAACCATCTGAACCATCTTTCAGTCTGTTCCCTCCTTTCTTTACCCCCATGCCCACTCCAGAGCATCTTCCCCTTACCTGTGACTATGAGTTCCAGGGCGTTGCTAGGCTGTATCTTAATAGGGCTGGTCCAGTCAGGGTGGTAGCAGCAGGTGTAACGCCCTATTCTAGCACCAGACACATTGGTGATGGGGAATGCCCCGTCGCCACTGGTGGATCCCCAGAGCTGCATTGAAGTGGTTTCTCTTTCTTTGTGCAGAATGTACCCTACTCCATGGACTGGCCCTTGGCACCAGAGAGTAACATTCTGCCCCATGGGAACCACAGAACTGGGCTCGGCAAACAACCTTGGCTTGGGAAATACGTCTAGGAAGAGACCAAAGATGTAAAGTGGTGAGTGTGGAAACTTATCACTTGCTGAATTAACCCTTTATCTTTCTTTTTCTGGCCACAATAGTTTCCCTCTATGGCCTAACCTAGCCTTCCAAGAAGGATTACCCTCCCTAATCCAGTTGTCTCTGTCCCAGTTCCATGATTTGCCTGTCCTTACCAGTCACCCAGATCATTATAGGCTTGCTGAGGTATGATCCCCTGTTTGACATAGTTGTCTCATAGTAGACACAGCTGTAGTTTCCAGAGTCTTCTGCTCCAATGGTGTGGAGGAGGAAGTCAGCTGAGTTCCCTGAGGTGCTCTGGAACTGTAAAGGCACAGGGGTTCCCTCATGCAAGAGGGCGAACCTCATGCCCTGGAAAGCCCCTTGGCATTGAAGGGTCACATTCTTCCCAGGAAGCACCACAGGACCTGGCTGTGCCAGGAGAGTTGGTTTGGGGTAGAATTCTGAAATTAAAGAGACCACAACATAAGAGAAGCCTGCACCCCACATTCTGCAAATTGCTTTTTTAGTGTTATCATAAGAAACAATATATTTATTGTAGAAAACTAGAAAATACAGAAAAACCTAATGAAGAAAATACAATTCTACCACTCAAAGATAACAGTTCTTTATACGTGTTTATGTGTTTCTTTTCCATTGATTTTTTTATACATACCCATGTCATTGTAGCTATAACTATTCACATAATTGGAAGCCTGCTGTATGCAGTTGTGTAGTTTAATATTTTCACTTAACTTTATATTGTAAATATGTTCCTATGACATTAAACAGCCTTTAAAAACTATCATTTCAAATGGATGCATAATATGCAGCTGACATTTCAAGGTCTTTGCCCTTTATCTAAGGGCTATCCAGTCCACCAATCTCTGACAGCCCACCTAAGGAAAAAGTGGACATTGAGCCTACAGTTCAAGGCCAAGCAACAAAATGATTTCATAAATTGGGCAAAGTGAGCTTGGCTCTAGGGATTGGACACCCCATCTGCCTCACTTCTTTCTCCAGACGTGAATTACTTGCTTCCTCCCTCTCCTTTGTCTCTTATTCCTGTAGTGGTAATAATATAAGCAGCGGCTTTACATGGACTGTTTCTCATGTGCCAGGCACTATCCTAAGCACATACTTGGTGACTTTTAGAAGGAGCATTTCTTCCTCTCCAGGTGACAGCCATTCCACCCACTGCCCCATGGTCAGTACCACCTCCACCTGCATTTCCCCACTTCTGACCTGTCACCACAAGCTCCACAGAGTCGCTGGGCTCAGACCAGATTGCAAAGTCATAATAGCGGCAGCTGTAATTCCCTCCATCACCAAAGCCCACAGAAATGATCAGAAAGTGAGCTGCACTCGCCCCTGGACTTGCCCAAGACCTGTCACTGGACGCTATTTCACTTCCATCTTTGTAAAGAATAAAGCTCATGTGCTCGTGGGGGGTGGAGCAATTGAAAGTCACTCGGACACCAGGAGTGACCATCGGGCTGGCCCATGTCTTGAAGTAGGGCTTCGGGTACATTTCTAGAAGGCAAAAAACAAAACACAACACACAACCAAATTAAGAAAAAGAAAGAAAGAAAAATAGCTAATATAGCAAATATTGGTTCTGGGAAGCTGCATTTTTTAAAATAGTATTTCATTCAGAAGTAGGTGCATTTAAAAATCCAAGCAAATCCACTTTGCAGATGGACTTCTCACAGGGACCCCTCACTCCCACCTGTTACCTGCTGCAGCTGAATCCTCACTGTCATCAGGGCAGAGAATGGAGGCTAGCTAAAAGAATGAATTGTCATTGGGGCTCTGCTGGTTCTCTGCACCTCAGTTTGACCATTTGGACAAGAAGGGGAAATGGTACCTGTGGAGCAGGTACCATTTCCCCTTCTTGTCCACATATCTCTTGAATATTTTCTCTATAGCTAAATAAAATAATTGATATGAAAATAATTAGAAAAATTAAACCACCCTCCACAAACCCCAGCTATTAATAACAATTACGGCTATTAATATCATGCAGCCAGAGGCCCTGGCACTCCCAGCGCCACGCCTGCCTGGCTCTAAGATTGGACACAGGCTCCTAGGACCAGCAGCAAAGTTAGCTGTGAGGAGAGGAGTGTCTGACCCAGAGTTTTGCCTCCCCCTCCTCCTTCACACACCCGTTTCAGCTCTACCTTTTATGACAAGCTCCAGGGGCTCACTGGGCTCAGACCACTTGAAGGGGTGCTTCTCAGTGTGAGTTCGGCAGCTATAATTGCCTTCGTCTTTATCCTCCATTCTTTGGATTGTAAAGAAGGCTTCTCTCCCAACAGCACCAAGTTGCTGGACAGGTTCCTGCAGTCCTTCCTTATACAGAGCAAACCCCATGCCTGCCAGCCATCCTTTGCAACGGATTTGCAGTTCCCGGCCCCGGATTGGGGGGGAAGCAGAAATGACAGGTTTGGGAAGGATGTCTGGAAAACAAAACGGGGTAGAAAAGGAGTTTCAAGTTTGGAGGTGCCCAGATGAGACACTTAGAGTCACTTTGTCAGCAAAAAGAGAAATCCATCCTGAACTGTCAGTCTCCTCTCACGCTCTTACCCACCCCGCTCCCCCATTTCAGTGTCCTTCCTCTCCTACCTGCAGCATAAGCCCCTAGGCGCCTTGTCTCTGTGCGTTCTCCCACCCCCAGTAACAGTGGTAGAGTCCCAGGGGCCTGGGGATTACTTCGAAAGGACCCTCAGCCTTTTCTTACCTGTCCCCACCAGCTCAAGTGCCTCGCTGGGCTCCGACACAGCCATCTCCTCCCATGAATGGCAGTGGTAACTCCCGGTGTGGCTTTGGGTCAGGGCACCAAGGGGGAAGGCAGCCCGGACCTGTTCTGAGGCCGGGCGAGTTGCGATCCACCCAGTCCCGTCCTTGAGCAACACAAACTCCTTAGTTGAGCCAGAAGGGCTTCTGCACCACAGGGTTAAGTTCTTCCACGGGGCCAGAGGGAAGTTGGTTTCTGCCCACAGCTCAGGCTTCGGGGTTGGCATGATTATTTCTAGAAACAGCAGAATTAATGAAGCTATTCTCCCTCCTACTCCCCTTTTGCTTGCCCTTGAACCCCCTACCCAGCTCACAATGCCCACCTCTCCTTTCAACTCAAATCCAAACTCTTTCCTTCCTTCCACAGGTGCTGGGAAAAGAGGAAGCTGATGTCTCAGCTGAGCCTCAGAAAAGTGCAGAAGCTTGGGGAAAATTTTGCAGGCGGAAAGGCAGAGTTGGAGGCTGAATTTTGCCAGCAGCTTTAGCAAGTGCCCCTTTCTGGCTGTCCTTCCCTCCCAACCAGTCCCTCCCTAGTCACTGACACTGACACTGTAGTTATTTCGGATCTCCAGGGAGGAATGCCCCAGTCTGGAGCAGGAAAAACTCACCAGTCTCTTCTGTCAATACCCCATTGCACAGTCCTGCAAAAGAAATTGCTGCCAGGGCTCTGCCCCCTCCCCCACGGGACTTCACCCCGGCCTTCTGCCCAGGCTGCTACCCCACCCCCTTGTACTCACCACAGCGGAGAAGGGCCATGATTATGAAGAGCATGGTGACCCCTTGAGCTGTACCCAGCAACCAGGCTTCTCTAGCAAGACCAGAAAAAGATGAGAGGAATTGCTGGGATTAGGGGGAGGGTGGAGAGAAGGGGGCGGCAATTTATGTCATTGGCTTATGCACCACCCAATAGGGATTGGATACAGCCAGGATAATGGGAAATAATCTTTTCTGACATCGATGGCTTTTCTTTTTGAGGGCCTTACCACTTACGAACCTCTTGCTCTTTCGTGACCCACGTGCCTCCCCACCCTCCTCCTCCCCAGCCTATATCATATGTCAGCTCCTCATGGCCCCTGATTAGGCTGTTGCTGGAATTGAGATGTCAGATGTGAAAATGCTTTTGTAACTCCAGCTCTCAGAAACCCTGGAGCTCAGTGTGATTGGCAGCTCTGGGTGGTGGGTGTGGGGGTGGAGGGAGAAATCTTGGATGTTTCACCATCATCAAGTTTAAGTTTGGAAGCAGTTTTTATTATGGCAGTATTGGTCCTCAGACTCACCTGCCTCACCTGCCTTTGTTATGGAAGGGTTGCCTAGGCAGCCCCAGTGATTTACCAGAGGATTGTACTCTTAAGTGCTGAGCTAAGCTTGGCAGAGAGCGGGATCTCTCTAACCCCATCCAGATTATGACTAGAAATGTGCAGCATTTTGGGGTTATGAGTCCTGTCGAGTTAGATGATAGTAAGCCAAAGTCCATTTGAAAAATTTTACTTAAAAAACACTGACCCTCCTTCCTGGTCAGGAAACTATGCCTTTCAAGCTGCTTTCTTTAAAGTCTGCTTTCTAAACTCATTGTTTTAGGTGCCGTGGCCCTGGGCTGAAGTGGGGCACATAAAGCTACATTGTTTCTGTCCCCCTGGCTTGCAGGTTACCCCAACGTATGTGAGACTCAGGATAGATCCCAAGGAGAACTAGAACTTGACCACCACTGAGACCTTGAAAACTCAAAGGGTGGTGGTTTTTGCAGAAGGTTTGGGTGGCTCCTTTCTCATTACTGAAGCACTCTGTCCTTCAGATCCCAGCAGAAAACACAGACACACACAACATAGTCATCATCCATTGTGTATTGAATACTCCAAGACACACAAATGCCTGTGATCATGGTGGTGTGGGGGCGGGTACAGCCAGGAGCTGAGGTTGAGGGGAAGTAGGCAAGGCATTCAGGAGCTGAAGACCCCACCAGGCTAGGAGCTGTCATTTCTCTTTTTGTTTTCAAACAGCATAGCCTGGGCATAGGCCATGGGGATGGGAAGAGAGGGTGGTGGCCTAAGGGATGCAAAAAGATCAAGGGAAATGGCAGAAGAACCTGTTTGGCTTGCCATTTTTTGGGTCATGGGAAGTGGTCTGATTCCCTGGCCCAATTCCATTGCCACATCAAATGCCCATACAGGTTAAAATCATATTCTCAAAATATAAGGTAGTTGGAGGCCTGAGTGGCATAGAGAATGGTTTCTATGGCAACTAGGATAAACCACAAGGCCCCCTATCCCTTGAGAGCTAGGGATAAGGGTGAAAAGTTGGGATGGGAGTTGGATAACATCCTGGGCAACAGGGCAGCATGGCTTCTTGCCAAAGGAAAAGTTCTGACCAAGTTAATGTGGGAGACATCAATCATCTCTGAGGGGCAGGATGGTGTGGGAGACTTGGGTACTCTCCTGGTGAGGGCATCGTTGAATGAGGTCCTGACTATTTCTGTAGCCTCTGAGCATTATGCATTTCTCTCTGGCTTGGGTGCTGACCCCTCTGTGAGGTGAAAGAGAAAGAGTTGGGATGAGAAAGTCTTGTCTCTGAAGCCCAGAGGGTGGGTGATACAAAGGTTGTGCCACGGTGGCTTGTTTCAGTTGGATCATGACTCATTCCTGAGTCTCCGGAGAGCCTGGAGTCAGCTAGATTGAGGAACTGGGGATGGGACAAGACAGTTAGTTACCTGATTCTGAATCTCTGATACTTCCACCTTATCCACAGCACTACCAACAGCAAGGCAACAAGCTGCACAATTAGGGACAAGCCGATAGCTTCATTCAGAACGTAGTTCCAGGTGAGCAAGCCTGTGGCCAGAGACCAGAAGCAGGGACCTTGATGGGGACAGAGGCAGGTGAAAACATTCATGAGGGGTGGGAAAGCTGGTGATGAAAGGTGAAGGAAAGGTGAGACAGAAGTGGCCTTGTTTTACATGGAGACCAGGAGCCTTGAAAGTATCCTGCTCATTGCCTTTGAGTGATTGTGAGACCACCCCAGGGGAAGGGTGCCCAAACTCAAGGGCCCTGACTTTCAAGCACCTGTTTCCACTTTCCATATCTTTCTGGGCACTGCTCCAGGATCCCAGGGATATCCTGACTAAAGCAATGAAGGGGCGCCCCTATGAAGAGGTGTCATCTCACCTGCTGGCCCCATCAGCTTCAGAGGCTTGCTGTGATGTGAACAGATGTTAGGGTGTACCTCTATGTGGTAGCTGCAACTGTAGTTCCCTGTGCTTTTCCCTTCAACATTACTGATGATGAAGTCTCCATCCAATGAGAATTTTTGGAATGTTGCTCTTTCTTCCAATTCCAGAGAAAATTCAAGTACCAGATGAGGTACTCGACACTGCAGGGTGATAGCCTTTCCTAGCTTGAACATGGTGCTGGCCCAGGCTGACAGGAAGAGTTTGGGGGGCTTATCTGCAACCAATCCAAAGACCAGGGTTAGAGGTGAACTTGAACTCAGTACCCCCTCTCTCAACAAATGTTTGTCAGCTCCCTCTATTTGGTCTTCTCTTCCTTTCTACTTTCACTAGATCAGTGGCTTCAAAATTTGACTGGGCATCAGAAATCCTTGACCCACTCCCTGGTCTTCTAAAGACTCTTGGGTTCCTACCTTCAGTCAGGACCTCATACCTATGTTTCCCGTGGCATGAAGGAAAATAACTTTTCCAGGGATTACAATTGGGCAAGGCCATGCTGAGAGGAGAAGCTTGAGTAATAATGCTGGGACAGAAGGTAACTATAAAGTTTTTGATGAAAACTACACCACCCTTCTGGTGTTTTTCCTTGGCTAATAACTCCAAGAGGATACAGGTCCACTAGCTCCTTTTTAGAACACTCTAATGATAATAAAAAACAAACAACGACAGTTGTTAGCATTTGCCTACAAGCACAAGCTCCACAGTATTGTGTGATGTCATCTTAATGGTCTTCCAGGAGAGGAGACAGTGGCAGCTACAGATGCCAGCATCACTGTAAGTCACATTGTTGAGGAAGAATGACTCCTCATTATCGATGTTGGTGGTATCCAAGAGCTGAAGTAGTTTGTCTTCTCCTTTTTTATAGAGTACAAGCTCCACTCTATCCACTGGTCTTCGACACCACAGGCTCACATTGTGACCCATTTGAACCACAGGACTGGGCTGAGCAAGTAGCCAGGTCTTGGGGAAAGTGTCTAGGATGAGACCCAAAAGATAAAGGGCTAACAATCTGACTTCTCCCGCCCACTACTTAGGGATCTTTACCTCCTTTTCTTCCAGTCGCCCTTAGCAAATCCCATCCTAAGCCTAGTTACACAAATTTTGCTTCCGTCCCCACTATTACCCCTGGCTGCGTGATTAGGATCTCCAGGGTCCCAGAGAGAGTTATCATTAGCCTCTAACAGAGGTGCCATGGCATTCCCATCTCTTACCGGTTACCCAGATTTTCAGGATATCACTAAGGAGTGAACCCCTGTATGACCCATCATAGTAAAAACAGAGGTAATGTCCAGCATCATGGATTCTCAAAGCCCGGAAGAAGAAATATGCCTCATTTTTTATTAGCCTCTTGCAGTAAAAGGACTTGTACAAGTCTTCAAGCCTTAGTAAAGCAAAAGTCATTCCATAGATTGGCCCTTGACACCTAAGATTCAGGCTTTCTCCAGGTGCCACGATGGGCCCAGGGTAAGCTGTGAGAGTTGGTTTGGGATAGAGGCCTAGAAAGGGAAGAGACCCTGAATTAGAGGTATGATGATTTTTATCCTCTGTTTTTTTCTAGTTTCTTTAAACAGGAAGTGATCGCTGAAATTTACCCTCTATTCCCTCTGCTTCCTTGAATCTCTGCCTCCTCTAGGAGGTAATTAAGGGTAAATTCACTTATACCTCTGGCTTCTCACCAGACTATAAGCTCGACTGAGCTCTAACTATGTGTAGGGCTTTGTCTCAGTCGAATACCTACATCTGTAATTTCCTGTACCTTTAGGTCTCTGAAATGTCAAGTGTAGTTCTTCCAACCACTGAGAAACCCAACTTCTAAAGAGGTACTTTGATTTCATCTTTGTCGAGCATGAATGCAAATGAAATATTAAGGATGGATTTTGAATACATTAACCCCACGTAAGACCCTGCTTCCAACAGGAGATTAGAAGAAGCCAATAAGGAGAGATTGGCCAGTAAGTCTGCAACCCAAAGAAATCTGTTAATGGGTTCACGTCCTCATTTCCATGTATTGCTTCTCCAAGATTAGACTACAAAATAGAGGGCAAGCGTTTCCATACCACTCCTTCTTACCTACCCCAATCACAGGTAGACCCACCATGAATTATTGGGAGGATCAGTCTATCATATGCTCATTGAGCATTTAGGATGTATCAGGCATCATGTTGTTCTGGGGATATGCAAGTAAAGAAGACATAGTCCCTGTCAGCAAAAAGCTCATGGCTTAGTGGGGGATACCATTGAACAGTTAACTACAGACGTGTGGGCTAGTGGAATCTACACTAATAGGACATTCATACAACAAACATCCATAGCACAGAACAAACAGATAGACCTTTGTTCTTTGATCCTCAATAAAAAACTATACTGGTAAAATTAATATCTATCATTTATTGAGAACTTACATGCCAGGCACTATACATATATTTAGGCAAATCCTCACAACAACCCTGTGAGGTAGGCATTATTATTAGACCAATTTTGCAAATCAGGAAAGTGAGGCACAGTGAGGCATTATACAGTAGGTTGGATAGATAGCTATCATCCCATGTTAAAGTGGAGGAAACCAAAGCACAGAGAGGTAAAGTCACTTGCTCAAGATCACACAGGGAGGTAGTTTCAGAAGCGGAACTATAATAGAAAGCAGAATTACTGCTGCTAAAACCAGGGTACTTTCTGTAACACCACAGCTTTCCCCAAGCATATTTAGCTTGTTGAAGAAACTAAAACAAATGTGGCCAATTCTGTCTAGAAGCATCCAGGCCATGGTGTAGGGGAGCTGAGGCTAGGGCATGTGTCTGGCTTTTGGACATTTTGGGGAGCCTTCTGCTGTGTTTAAAGCTTGTTACTACCTTACTGGATCTGCATATACAATACTAAAGCAATTTATAAAGCCATTTCTAAAATATAAATTATCACTTTCTTTGTCATTTTTTATCACTTAGCAATTCATTCTATTTTCCACACTAAAATATCATAATCACAAATAAAATAAAAATATATTTAAAATTTTAAATATCAGTTTATAAGACTGCAGTGGCAGTGCCTGGCACATATTAAGTGCTCAATAAATATAGTCTAATGAAGGAATGCATGCATGATATTCAAAAAGTAGAAAATAACAACGCCATGATGATCTGAGGCTGCTGGATATTTTGCTGGGCTCACTCACTAGCCATATGATTGGCTCCCACACATCTGCCACATAGCATGTGTGACTCTAATTTTTATCTCAGTAAAATGACAAATGACTAGCTCCTGAGCCTTGCAGGGCCTAGGAACTGGCCAAGAAAAGTAAAATCAGAAACCCTGTCTCATCCAGCCATGATCCCGGGGACAATAATCATCAGACCCCAACAGCCATAGCCACACCCACCTGCCACAATCAGCTTCAGGGGGTTGCTGGGCTCTGACCACAAGGTGGGGAGCATCAGGATATGAGTGCGGCAGATGTAAACCCCTTCACTCTCAGGTGTCATGTTGGCAATGGAGAAGATGGCCACTGTCCCAGTTGGGACTTGGTAATCCACAGGCTCTGCATATCCCTCTTTGAACAGCATGAATACCAAATCCTGCAGCCAGCCATGGCAGTGTATGTTAACATTACATCCAGGAAGAGGAGAGTTCTCAGACTGGATCCAGAAGATGGGCTTGGGCAGCTGGCCTGGAAGGAGGGAAGGAACTATTACACAATAGAATTCAGGTAGAGTAAGGATAGTGCTGCTCAGGAGAGCTCTACTTAAATGAGCCTTCCCTGTATGGTCCTTATTTGCCACTCCGCATTTCCCCATCTAGGGTTTTCCCTAAATTGAGAGTTTGCCTTCTAAATCTGTTCCAGAGTATGAATCCTCACTCTGCATTGCCTATGGAGAGTAGGCACTTATTTACTAATTGTGGAGTGTGCACATGTATATATGCATGCATTTTAGGTAAATGAATGGGTGAATTAAACAAATCCTGCAGTAGGAAGGCAAGTTTGAATCCCAGGAGTTGGAGTTTATTCTTGATTAGCTATCTCTCTTCTTACCTGGTGCCTCCAACTCTAAAATTTTACTGGGCTCTGACCAGCCTGTCTCCTTCCAGTAGCAGCACCTGTAAAGACCTGTGTTGGACTTAGTAAGGGCACCTATGGAGAATGAAACTTGGAAGGTCTTGTAGGAAGGTCGGATACAGGTCATCTGTGTCTTATCCTTCAGCAGCAGGAACTTGCTTGAAATCTGAGAAGGGCTTTTACACCAAAGAGTGATGTTCTCCCAAGGTGCCTGGGGGTAGTTGGTCTCTATCCACAGCTCCGGTTGAGATTGCATCACTGTTATTACCAAAAATGACAAAAATGTGAGCAGCCCAACCCTTTCCCTCCCAAAGCATGCCCCACAATGTCCCTTAAAATTAGCCCTGACCCAGATTATTCATTTTGTGTTCCCTTGGGGACAGAATTATCTGCTCATGTGGGGGTGGGATAGGGACCCCAGGATATTTGTTCAAGGAATCCAAGTGAGTTGGGGAATAAAATGCAAGACTGGCTTCCTTTCCATCTGAAATAAAGCTCTTTACTATTCTGTGGGAAATCAAGTCACAAAGTGAGGGCTCTGATTCCCAACCAACCCAATCTGGGAATTGTCTTTGGGATCTCAAAGCAGTTATGTTCAGGGCAATGGAGGCAGGCTTATGTCTTGAAACATTCAGGAAGGAAGGTATTGCGGTGGCAGGACTCACTTACCTACTGATGTCGTACCCAGACTCAGCCCTGAAAAGAAATTATGGTAAAGGAAGGTCCCTTCATTGATCCCACCTACCCTCAAACCTCAATACTCTCCTCTTCCTCCCCAAGGTGCCCACTTACAGGGGTACGTATGACAGGGTTACTTGCCCCCCACCCCTTCCTTGTACTCACGAATGCAAAAAAGCAAGAGAGTGAATGTCCACAGCATGATGGTCCCCTCCCCTGGCCTGTCCAAGGTCATGGGCCCTCTGGTGCTCAATGTGCGCCTCAAGGCTTGAAGGGGTTTGCCCCTCAGCAGGTGACGAGATCTAAAAACAGAAGTGTTTTTACTCAGGGGACTTGTCCTGCTCCTTAAAGTTTAGTTTGGATCACTAAGCTACATTTGGCAACCCTACTACCTTCCACTCCCTCACAGGCATACAAGGTATTACAAAATATTACGAAGTCACCTGCTACTTCATCCCCTTGGCCCTTTTCTCCACTCCCTCCTCCACCCCACCCCCACCCCCACCCCCAGGTCTTTGCTGGTATCTAAAATGTCAGATATGTTGAAATGTCTGTTTCTCCCTGGGCTCTTAAAGGCCCAGAGGGGCGACCTAATCTAATCCAGGCAAGCAGAAGCCCTGAAGGATGAAGGAGATAGGAGGTGTAGAGACACACCTTTTCAGAATAAATACACACACACACACACAGAGTGCCAAAAATATGTATACATATTTTAAGAAAGGAAAAAAGTATTAAAATTGTAATACTCATTTTATACCCATAACAAAAGATGAATACAAGTCACATTTGACTTCTGCAGTTACAAGAGGTGCTCAAAGTGGTTACCATCAGCGTCCAGACATTTCTGATTACAGTGAACTACTGCTTGAGCAACATTGGCCAAAGTGTCCACTTGTATCGCTGTGCATGCCGTTTCAATTTCTTCCTGAGGTTCCGCCAGTGTAGCTGGTTTTCTAAGGCACAGCACATCCTTTAAGGTCCCCCATAGGTATAATTCAAGGGGTGTTAACTCAGGAGAACATTCTCAAATTTCAAATACCACTTCAAAATGGTCTTGTGCTCCTCGAATGACAACTGTGCTTCCACCATTTTCTTTGACTGCCCTGCCTGTTCAATGGTGATGCCAGCATTCATTTGATTAACGCCATCTTTTGAGCGGACGTAATACTACACTTTACTACTGTAATTCAATTCAACTTCAAAAAGTAATACATAGATAACATCTCTTAAAATGTGTATACACTTTTTGGCACCCCTGATATATATATATATATATATATATATATATATATATATATATATATATATATATATATGTATATGTATATGTATATATTTTGAGTCCTCCAACAATATAGCAAAGGAAGTGTTCCTAACATCCTCATTTTGCTGGCAAGGAAACTGAGATTTAGAGAGGATATATAATTTTCCCAAAGTCAAAAGATAGTAAATATCAGAGCCAAAATTCAAATACATATTTAACTCCAATGCCTATGCTCTAAAACCAGTCTTTACAGGCAGCCTTTCCCCTCATTCTCACCCTCCCATAACCCTCCCATCTCATCCCATCCATGCCTTCCTTCTGTGGAATGCTTCAGATCCAATATTATTCTCATTCTTATTTCTCACCCCCCCAAACCTCAAAATCTCCATCTCAAGTAGGTGTTGGGGAATCAAGCTGATTGAGCTAATTAATATAAGATGTAAATGATTTATTGGCTGTCCATAATTTATAAGTATTTTTGTTCATTGCCCCTAAGGGAAAAAAAAATAATTGTTTCAATTTCAGGGAATAGGGCAAAGATTTGAGTTCCAGGAGGCCTCCTCATTGTCTGAAAATCAGTACTGACAACAGGCCCTGCACATACACAAGGTAATCAATCCCCTTATGTTTTCCTGCCTTCTCCCACCCCACCCAGTGATTCCTTTTGCCAAGGAGAGTTATATCTCCACTACACAATCTCGGGCTATCTGTCTTTCACCAACTCTATTCAGAGTCTGAGATCCTGGCTGACCCCAGTCAGTTGTTTCATTCTATCTCAGTAGAGTGGGGTAAGAGAGGGTCCCAGAACAGAAAGGGGCTGATTTTCCTTCCCAGACTGATCCTAGTACCGCAGCCTCTAACTTGTCCAGTGCTAACACTGGGCAGATGGGGAAACAGGGAAAGGGATATTGATTTTCAAACATCTGGGCTGTAGGAAGCAGGCAGACTGTCAGATATCCAAGGAGGCACAATTTCGTTTTGCATTTCTCCCTTGGCATTGAGGGATGCTCAAATTACTTTCCCTGAACTTTTCCTATCTGTAAAGTTGGGGAATAATATGTACCTAGCATTGTTGTGTTAGATCAAAGATAATATATGTACAGCGCCAGGCACATAGTGAATATTTCATAAAAAGGTGGCTATTTTTCTTCTTCTCAAAGGGGACAGCAACCTGATACAGGAACCTAAAGATGTTCTTTACATCTTACCGCTTACAGCCTTTTGTACGTACTCCTCCAGGCCCATGCTTGGGTGCCACCCTGTTGCTTTGTTCCCCTGAGACTTGGGGTCAGGATTTATTGGGGAAGTCAGGTTCTACTGCCAAGGGAAAGGTTCAACCTGGGTTTCTTCCCATAAATGCCATCTGAGAGTCCAGCCTTCCCACTTGGACCCCTAAACCAAGGGTTTGCCTCCTGGGGGCTAGAGTGGAATCAGGGAAATTGGGCTGCTCAGCATGGCTAAACCCTCCCCAATCACTAAGAAAACTGTACCATTTATACCAACCAAAATGATGAATCTTAGGCCCAGGGAACTTGGAAAGCAGCTGAAAGCTTCAGGTTAATTAGCCATGCACATTTTGGGTCTTTCACATCCCCACCCAACCCCCAACTTCAGCAGTCTAGCCTTACTACCCTTCGCTTCTACTCCACCCCAACTGCTTTCCCCACCCTTAGGTAGCGCCAAAGTGCTTTTGACGGTGACATACCCGGAATATCTAATGGCTTGCCCCCCTGCATAGCTTTAAGGGCTCCAGGAATCAAAGAGGTTTGGGGCTCAGCAGGGTGCCGGGTGCATGCTCAGCGGAGGGTTTGGAGGGAAGACTGATAAGGACAAGGAAGATATCTACCGTGCCCAGATTCTCAGCGAGGCAAGGCTAGGATGGGGAGGGAAGAAGAAAGGAAGGGATGAAGAGGGTGGGGGAAGACGGGGGCAGTTTGATTTACGGCGGTTAATTACAGCGGGGAGACTATTGTGGGGTTTTGTTTAGGATCTGATGGCCAGTATTTAATCTTCAGCCACTGGACTATGCGCTCATTTGCAGGTACTTACGGTAGTTGACGGCCGGCTCAGATGTTGGAGATTCTCCAGCGAGCTCCTCCAGATGCAGCAAACTGCCCGGCGTGAGAAGAGCTGTCTAAGGACAGCCTCCCGGGCTTCGCGCCCCGCCTCCCTCTCTCCCGCCTGCTCGCAGTCCCGCTCCAACCTCCTCCACTCCCTCTGCCAGGCTCTGGGAGCCCACCTGCCTAAACTCTGCTTGACACCTGCAGTCCTCTGACAACCAGGATTTCTATGCCCCTCCCAACTCTCAGCCTCTCTCTCTCAACTCTCTGCAGAGATTGCTGGAGCCTAATTCAGACCTCTGCCCCCTCCCCTGTTGCTCAGAGTTTAACTGGGTCACTGTATTCTGGAGGGGAGAGGGACAGCTCTTAAGATTGCCAAAGCTGTAGATCCCTCCTCTCCAGCTCCCCAATGTGTTTAAAGGGATCTCAGATCTTCTTCCGCCTGTTTAATGCCCCACTTATGCATAAACATTACCACCATGGTTTAAATGCTTACTATGTGACTCTGGGCCCTAGGTATCTACTATTTCTAATCTTCATAACAATTCTACAAGATGTGCTAATTCCCTCAATTTTACAGATGAGGAAACTGAAGCTCAGAGAGGGTTAAGTAACTTGAACAGCCTTCAAAGTCCAGGTTGGGATAAAAGCCTAGGCTTTAGAGATATACAAATTAAGATTTTAGTCCAGGTTCCATTATTCAGTAGCTGAGTGACCTCAAGTGAGTTACTCTCTGAGTCAGCTTCTGCATCTGTTAAAAAAAAAACCAAACTATTGCACAGGGCTTCAATGAGATAGTACAAGTAAAACTTATAGCACAGTAAGCTTGGTACATGGTAGGTGCTCAATAAATGGTAGCTACTGCTGCTACCACTACTACTGTTATTAACCTGTAAAGCATCCCCCAAATGCCCTAGAGTGACATGATTTCAATGATGTAGACAACCTTTCAGTAAGTTAGGTGGCCTTGAAATAGTTTTTGAAATAATAATGTATAGATAAGATACTACCCAAGATCCTGACATATGTGATGGGATCAAAGTATAGTATCTAATAGATTCACAGATCAATTGATTGTTGGAAGAAATAGCCACATTTTTCTTTATGTGCATATTTTCACCTTCATGAAAGATTAAACATTATCTACAGAAAAATACTGTAATTTGCGAGCGAAGTATGTAAAAATGCAATAACAGCTTTTTTTAATTAAAGTTTATTGGGATGATAATTGTTAGCAAAGTTATAGATTTCAGGTGAACCATTTTATAATACATCATGTATATATCACATTGTGTGTTCAGCACCAGAACAGAGTCAGTTTTCATCACCATATATTTGATCCCCTCTACCCTTATCTACCACCCCCCTCTCTTTTAATGAGAAAATTGAATACCATATCTTCATGCATCAGGTGATATCAATTGTGGCTTCCTGGCACCTTTTTCCCCCATACACCATTATAAACTGCAGATTATCACATAAGGAGTAGAATAGCCATATTATTATAAATCTGTTTTTTGGGCAGCAATTATTTAGCCTCTCCAAGCTGCAGTTTTCTTATTTGTAAAATGAGGATAATAATTGTACTTACTGTCACACAGAGTTTGGGGTAGGGTTGAATGAAAATCCCCCTGTAAACCACTGTATAGTGCCTGGGACACAGCAAGCATCCATTAATTCCATAAATGCTGAGTATTTTCTTTGTGACAGGCGTTGTTGTAGATGCTGACAATTCAGAGAGAATGGCAGTTTCTGCTGTTAAGGAGTTTGTAGTCTAAGGATAAACAATGGTAGAGAATGAGGAGTGGGAGCGAGCCAGAGAAGGAGGTGCCGAAAGAGTCAGAGGATTGCAATAGGAAAGACCTGTGGCAAGGAAGGCAGGGAGAATTGCAAGCAGTTTGCTGTTGCTGTGGGCTTAAACTAGGGCTGTGAAAGCAGAGAAGGAGAGGACAGCAAATGTTCCTGAAACATTTAGGAGGTAAAATTGGCCAAATATGTTGTTTTTTTGGAACACAGTAGTCAAAGTCATTATCTGTCAGGGTGAGAATATGTATGCAAATTTTCAAAACATTTATATAGAAATCACTATAATAGTAATCATATTTATAGGCACTGTTGATGAAAAACATTCAGCCTAAGAGAAAACTTATGAGTTTATTTGAGCCAAACTGTCGACAATTGCCGGGAAGCAAAATCTCAACGGATTGAGAAAATGCTCAGCAAAATGGCAGTTTGCAGTTTATTTCACACATAAGATCAAAGGAGGAAGGTTACATGAAATCCACTGGTGACAGATTAAGGAGGTGGGAGAGAGCAAAGAGGGGAAACCTCTGGGATTGGATAAAAGTAAATTGGAGAGACAGGGACTTCTTTTACATAGGTGGGTGTAGGATGGCTAACAGTCAGCCTTTTTACAACTCAAAGAGATGGTAATCAGGAGATAAGCATGATAAGGAGGAATGTTGCAGTTTCCAGCTCTGGTCCAGAAAAAGGATTACTGACATTCCTAAGATGTTATCTTAGGTGCAGAAAAACAGAGAGGCCCACTGAAAAGGCACAGACTAACTATGAAGGAAGCTAAAGATGTGACTTCCCACCATAGCCCACTTGGTTATGAAAGTGTTTTTATGCTCACACCATGTTATGTGGTTATTTTCAATCTCCTGAGCTTGTCAGGTTTAACCTGTGGCCCCTTTTCCGTCCACAGCACCATATTTATTAACTCATTGTGTCCCCATAACAACACTATGGGATAGCTATCATTATCAGCCCCATTTTACAGGTGAAGAAACTGAAATGTAAAGCCATTAAACAAATTACCTGATGCCTCACAACCAGCAAGTGGCAGAGCTAGGATTCACATCCAAATCGTCTCTGTATACAGTCCTATGTTTTGTTTATGTTTTTGTTTTTGTTCTTTTAACTGAAACCACTTTATTGATTTTAGATATTACTAAAAAGGGTCTTCTATAGATTTCTGAAAATTTTTATGCAAAGTAACTTTGTAGCTCTATCATTCTTTTTTTTTTTTTGGATTGAGTTATAATTGACATACAACATTATGTTAGTTTCAGGTTACAACATAACAATTCAAAATTTGTATATATTGTGAAATGCAGTCCCATGTTCTTAACCACTACCTTATGCTGTCTCAGCATTGAATGGATACTTGGAATGATACAACTAAAAAAAAAAAAAGATGTGAAATAGAAAAGCACCAATCGAATGCATTTTTAATAATGTAGAAAAAAGGTAATGATAGTGTCCCCCAGCTCTCTGTAAGTCCTTGGGCTGAGGCTTGTGTTCTTCGAACAGCAGCCTGAATCTAGAGCCTAGAAGCCCCACTACCTGGCCATGGAAACCTAAAAAGGTCTTGGGACTATGTAGGTGAGAGTACCACTCACGTTTATCTTTTGCCCTGGGACACTATGGAATCTTGAAATGACTTAATTATTCAGGTTTCATAGAAGCCCCTCATTCAAACTATGACTGGCAATTGAGATAGCAGTCTCCGTATCTAGTTCTTAAACTTTGCAGTCTGCCTGCAGATGGAGAAACGTTCTCTGGCCATCCTCCTTAGAGAAAACTTGAGTGGCCCAATATTATAAAGATGGTGGTACAGGCCAACAGGGTCTGAGGCTGTGTCATAACTGAGATGGAGTTCCTTATGTTGGCTCTGCTGGCCTAACCCCATCAGGAATCCAGAAGGTCTGTGGCTCTGTGTCTGAATCTTACATGTTAAGACAGGGGGATTGCAATGGTGGCACTAAATCTTCTATTTTGAGATTTGGTCTCTGGTATAACTTGATTTAACAAGTGTAATTTAGCTTGGGATTTTTTGAAAGCTTTCTTTTCTTTCTTTGTTTCCTTTCAGCCAAATGTTAATGATTCTGCTTATACATTTACTATGCATACCAGTTTTAGTGGTTCTGTTTACCTCAGCCCACCCAATACAGGCCCTGTGACTTGGGAGAGGTTTTGCATCTGTATGGGATCCACTCCTGGCTCCAACTTAAATCTACATAACATATGCAAAGATTGCTATAACCAGCTTAATTGCACCTTCCCCTACCCCAACAGATCAAGCTGAACTCAGTAGAAAATTCCACTACAAGCTGAAGCAGTTTACATCCTGGTTAGAAAATATAAGAAAATATAAAATTTTCTAACCAGGATGTAAACTGCTTCAGTTTGTAGTGGAATATAAAACTTGAGATGAAACAAAGACTCGACACAATAGTTTGCAGTAGTTTTCAGCAGACTCTGCCCAGCCGACCCTCCTCCTACTTTAATAAATCTTCCTTCTGTATCTCTACCTGACTCGTGAATTCTTTCATGACCCACGAGTGAGCAGCCACAATATTACACACACTCACACACACACACTCCAAGAAGCCTGAGTTTCTCTCCTGGTTTATTACTCTAAATTTGGCTGATATTAAACAACTCCTCTTTCAAGGACTGTTTTGAGAATGACCACTCTTATTCGTGGTGGCTAGGGCCCCTCTTACTCTCCATTCTCTTAAACTGGTGGGATGGACACGAGGGGGCTGGCATAGGAGCTCCCACCCTCACTCTCTTGGAAAGTGGTGATACCACAAACTATTCCTGAGTCATACCCCCTCTCAGTTTCACTCCTTAAGCATGGGGGTAGAAGAGGATTCCTCCTGCAAAAACTTCAGAATCAACACATGGATTATGAGACAAGTGTTAAACACAGAATTTTATTGAATACATGCTATTCATATTGAAGTAGGGAGTATGGTAAGGGTAGGACTAATGTGATTTGTAAGACAGGGTTTCTAAGCTCCAAAGTCTCTCAGCCTAGAGATAAAAAAAGAGCATTGTCTTACAAAAGCTGTAGTGAGGGCCACTGGAGCGCTAGAAATGCTTCAAGAAGGTGGGGCTCAAAGGAGGTGAGTCACCAAGGGCCATGTAGGTGCACAGGGTAGTCTGGGAAGCCTTTCTTTATAACTGAGTCCAGCATAGGATGATGAGATTTTTTTAAAGCTAAATCTGTCTTATAGTCAAGCCAGGAGACACACAGGGCAAATCTGGCCTTTTCCCAGTAAT